TATATATATATATAGAGAGAGAGAGAGAGAGCACAAAATGAGAATGCGAAAAGGAGGAAAGATGAGGGAAAATAAGAAATAAATATAAATTCAAGAAACAGTAAGACAACCCTACTAGCTGAGATTATTTTCTGTTACTAGGAGCTTTCTATGCATGGACAAAGCAAGTATGATGAAAGGGACATAAACCACACACAGCTGTCAGATACAAACATTGCCCAAGTATACTAATAAATTAGTGTTACTTTATTACGCCACTTTCTTGTGAGTATAGATAAATTCTGAGTATACTAAAACAAAGGCATTAAGTTAGGGGTTATGGGGCCTGCTTCCAACCTTAGCTGGGAAGCTGTCTAAGCAGTCACCTGGCTTCTCCCATCCCTACATCTCTATGCCATCTTTTTTTGAAATCCAGCATTTTGAGCTATGGCTATCAAGCTCTTAACTTACACATGATCTCATGTTATCTCTCCTCCTTGATCATCAGCTCATGGGAAACAGGGAAAGTGTCTAGTTCTTTTTCTCTTCTCCTACTGAGTTTAGTACAATAATTCCAAACGGTGAGTGCTCATGAATAAATACTGCTATATACTTCGTAGGTTTTTTTGTTAAATTGTTAACTTCTTGAAGAAGACCTTTTTAGTCCTGAATTAATTATGAAATATGAGGTAGTTGACTAATCTCTAAGATTATTTTCAAACTGTAACTACTGGAACAATGATAAGGACATGTCTTATACTGTACATGTTTTCCAGCCTTTGTATCATTTCTGGTACATTACAGGGCACATAGTGAGAACTCAAGCAGTGCTTTTAGTGACCTGACTTCAATATAGATGTATTTAAGTAGAGAAAAAACATACAGATATATTTCTGAAAGTTCATATAAATTACTAATAAAAATTGAACATTATTTAAAATATACAAATTTGTTATTAAATGGATTTCTAAGGTAAAGTTTTACAATATTTATAATCACTTAATAATCTAATTTCTTAATTTAATTATTTCCTAAGTTTCACCTTTTACTAAGTCAAGGTTGCTGACCATTAGGTAAAACTTTAAAAATAAGGGAGCCAACTGATTTAATATTGCTATAGTTTGAATGTGGTTTGGGTGTGTCCCCCAAAGTTTCATGTGTTGGAGGCACGATCCTCAGTGTTAAGAGATGATATAATCTTCACTGGGTAGAGCCTGATGGAAGGTGAATAGGTCACTGGAGGAACTGGTTAGGAAAGTAGTTTCCATGGGACCCTTGTTATAAAATAGCCAGACTTGGCCGGGGATTTAGCTCAGTGGTTCCACCACCTGCCTTGCAAGCACAAGGTCTCAAGTTCAAACCTCACCACCACCAAAAAAGCCAGACTGGCCCTCTCTACTCTCTGGCTTCCTGTTTTACCAAGTGATCTTTCTCTCTCTCACATGCTCCTGTCACGATGATACCTGCAATGTTGTGACTTAGCCAAAGCAGCCCTCACTAGAGGCTGAACAAATGAAGCTCTTCAATCTTGAGCTTCTAGTTTCCCAAACTTTGAACTAAATGATAAATAAACCTCTTCTCCTTAGACATTATTCAGCCTTAGGTACTTTGTAATAGTAACAAAATAACTGATATAAATATTGAGTAAATCAAGCTATTTTTCACAGAGAGGTGCTCCTCTTTCTAGTTTTCCAAATGACCCCCATCTCTTTCTCATATGCCACGCACATATACGAATACAAACCATTTTCTTCCTTATGTCTTAACTCACATTTCAACTTTTGGTAAGTCTACTCTGACTTATAATATATTATGTATAAGCCTTTCAATTTTCAATAATCTTTTCCACACCCTTTCCCCTCGTTTACCCACATGCCTCACCTGTTTTGAAAATAGGTATGCCTTCCATGGTATCTGGATCATCCACAGTATCTAGACTCTTCAACATATCTGTCTTTGGTCGTAGCTTTGGTAAAAGCATGCTGGAAGTTGAAGCTTCCCCAGCTGAGAAGCAATAGTTGTAGGTCACCCTCAAGATGAAATTCAGGGAAAGGACTGCTCCTTACACCCTTTCATTTCCCCTATGATTCTTAGCTGTCCAGGGTGTTTCACCATAAATATAAATAAGAAAAATGATGGCTAGTCTCAACAATTATCTTACTTCAAGGATTCTATTCCTTTAACATAAACAGAGGCCAGGCAGAATACATTTCTACATATTTTGAGGTTAGAGTGGAAAAGAAGGCCATTTTTTTAATGATCTGATTTATCTTATACGTTTTGGGTATTGATTACAATGGAAAGTAGGATTCCCACAGATGAACCCAGACAAGGTGGAAGAATTCACCAAGGACAGAGAAATCAATGACTACTTTATGAGTTATAAATCTTGCTCCTTTTCAATTCTTGCTTATCTGCTCAGGGTCTATCCCCACAAAACAAGTCAACATCTCATCTATACTTGTATGAGGAAAAGATATGACTTAGTGACAAATATTTTATCACAGGGAAAGTGGAATGATCTAGACTGAAGTCTGTATTTACACTGGCAAATTCATTTTATATTGAGCTTTCCTGTGAGATAACCCATTTTCTGATACTGTACTATGATCAGGACAAAATTGTACCTGTTCTCTGAGGAGTCCTGACTAACCGGCTAGACTGAATCACACACATGAAAAATTCCACATGAAATTCTTCTTTATGCATGGCTATTTCCTAGAAATAAATACAGAGCTTAATGCAAGTAAACAGATCTTTGGAATGATTTAAGGTGTCAACGACTAACACAGACCAGATATACTCAATACTACTAGGTCTTAGGCCTTGACAACATAAAAATATCAACATATGAGGTGATCCACATAATTTACTTTTACATATCGAATCCTCTGAACTCATCAAATACCCCTTTCCTAGCTGGGAAAAGGCAGGGGCTTCCAGAGACTTTTTTCTTCAAGGGTAAAATCAGACTGCAGCTGTCACCCAGGTCTAGGGGGCCTACTGGAAAATCTCCACCCCCACCCCTGTACTGAGAATTGAACTCAGGACCTTGCAGCCAGGCAGGTGCAGCGCCACTGAGGCCTGGGAAGCATTTCTTTAAGACTTATGCACAGAGCTTGCACCAGAGATCAGCCAAATTGAGGAGCTTGGTAAATAGCCTAAATGAACAATCGTATTTCTTGCTATTATTCTTTTGAAAAATCTGACATAGATTATAGGTTAATCACTGTGGACCCTTGGAGGGTTAGACTCTTTCATTTCCTATCTCTGCCCAGAAAAGTAGATCTAGTGGGCTCTATAGAAGAATGCTGCCTGTGTTTCAAACTCCTCCAGAGTTTTGGAAGCTTCCATATGTTGTCACAGTCTAATCTAAACTGTCCTTAGATTGCACTTTGGGGGGGGGGTCAGTCAAGCATGATGTAATTCAGAGTATAGGACTGCAAATTAAGATACCCGTTCTCTAGTCAGATCTGCTATGCACTTTATAACTTTGAGAATGAGTTCACTTACAAGAACTTATTAAAACTAATAAGGTTATTTCCAATAACCTCTAAAAGTATTAACGTTTTGTGATTCACAGTAAGACACGATATAGCCGGAGATCGACTTGGATCGCAATTGCTCACTTGTGTGGGAGACCACTGGTTCCCAAAGATCTAGGGCCACAGCGGAAAAGCTGCCATGGAAACCCGAGCGGAAGCAAAAATCGCCTGCGGAACCAGAAGGCGGAGGGTAAAGCGCCCAAGGGAACAGAGAAAAGTATAGGACGAAGCGCTCACTAACAGTATTTCCAAAAACGAGAAAAGCCCACACTGAAGAGGAAACAGGGAAATTATGACTGTAGCTTTAGACGCTCCCTGGGATACTGAGGCCTCGCTAAATAGCGCAGGCGTCCCACCGGTCCTTAACTCCACTCTTTGACCTCCTGCCCCACCCCCACCAGGCTAGCCACCGAACTCACTTCCGGTGCTGTGAGGCAGTTCCGGTTCGCGGCAGTTCCCGGGTTTTGCGTTCCGCGCCCTGCCGGAAACACTTTTGCCTATCTGCCGGTTCCGGTTCGGTGAGTGGCGGCGGGAAGCTGGGGGAGGGGTGAGGATGGAGGGAGCCTGGACCGGGAGGCAGCGTCGGACTGGGCCCAACGGCCTGGGCTGGGCTGTGCGGGAGAGTGGACCGCTGCGGGGACTGGGCTTTCCCCGCTGCCCCGCCCCCTGGGACCACCTCCCCTCCCCCCTGCTCTCTGGTGGCGGCGCTCAGCCCAGTGGCCGTTAGTTAGGCTTCGCGTGGTCCCTCTTCGGGCCTCTTTCTCCGGAGCCGCGAACAGGCGGTCTCCCTGCGGTCTCAGCAGGCCGCATACCAGCGCCCAGCTCTACTGGACGTGAAGAGGCCGGTTGGGATTCCGGGACTTTCCCGCCAGAGCAGGGTCTTCTCTCGAGGGAGAGCTGTTTTCGCCGGAAGCTCAGCTTTCTATCACCTGCTTCACCTCCCGTCCTCCTTGAGACCTGAATGGTATTCCGCGGCTATTTCTGCGTCTCACGTAAACAGTTTTCCAACTCTTAACTCTGGTATCTCCTTGAGATGTGATATCGCTAGTGCCACCACCAGAAAGAAACGTCGGGACCCTCCCGCCCAGGTTATGAGAATCCCCTTACCTGCCACAGTGTGCTTACCCGGCTCATCGCCTCCTGGTAATTCCCTTGAACCGTCTCCTTCTCGGTATACCCTAACGTGATCTCTATGGATGTATGCCTAGTTTCCCTTGTCTTGAGCTTGGTGATTTCTGTTTATCAGTTCCTCTGCAGTATTTCTACTATCTTGTTGTCTGTAACTTGCTCCTTTATCACTTTCAAGTCAGACTTGTTAAAATTATTTCAGTTCACGTTTGTTGCACTTTTTGTATTTGGAGTGATGGTGATTCTTGTACAATTTATATCAAGCCCATTATAGGCTGCCAGCTATTTGTCTTGGGGTCCTTTTTACAATTGGATAGTCTGGTCAAGGTAGATCACATCATCTTCTAAATCCTTATTCTTCATGAAGATAATTTGTGTTAAGGACTCGTGTTGAAATATAGATCACACTGACTTTGAAATTACAGTTGCAGCAAAGCCGTAAGCATGATCCCTTAACCTTCCAATTTAGAGGAACCCGCCCCCTCCCCAGTCCATTTTAGGAAGCTTCATTCATTTTTACCTGACTTCAGTTAATTATCTCAACTGCAGATATCGTTTTCATATCACACATCTGATGAGTTAAGTCTAGAGGGAGTGGATGGATACAAAAACAGGTTTTGCTACTTCTTGCTGAGGTGACATAACTACAATTTTGAAAGTCCTTTTCTTTCACAAACTTCCACATCTCCTACCAGTTCTACTAGCTTTACTGTTTTACTGTATCTGTTTATGGATCTAGCTTCCCCTATTAGATTCACAGGATCTTTATATCCCCAGTACCCCACACTTATTCAGTGCTTAATAAATGTACGTATATGAGAGAAGTTAAATATACTTAATGTTTAAAGCTATAGACTGTTAAGATGCTTAAGATATTAGAGTCTTAATAGGACAGATTACATGTAAAAATACTAAGGTGGGGGGAACCCAAGTACATGACATAGTACCAACTGTAACATCTATGTAATTTTTTTCCAGAGCTCAGAGTAGGATGATTCATAGGATCACTTACACAGCCTTCTCATATTTTTTTTTTTTTAGTACCGGAGATTGAACTCAGTCCTTGCGCTTGCGAGGCAGTGGCCAGAACCACTGAGCTAAAACCCCGGCTACCTTCTCATATTTTAAATTGTTCTAACCACACCTTGGTCTTGGATATAGCTAATTGCACAGTGCCTCTCAATAGATGTATATGTATACATACTTTAGTAACTTCATCGTGGCTCTAAACATTTTTTTTTATAATCACTTTTTTGCAAATAGGTGAGCTTATAAGTGCTTTATTGTAAGTATTTCTGTTACTTTCAGGATTTTTTTCTTCAGATTTCTTGTTACCTGTGTCCTGATACTAACTTGATTTACGTAAATATAACTGCTTATGTTCTTCCAATAAATTAATCAGTGTATACTGGGAATTAATTATTAGAATGAATTCCTTAAGAGAAAATTGTTATCCTTGTACGAATTTGGGGGCAGTAAATAAGATTCCTGATGCAGCATTTCAAACAGAATTTTCAGGTAAAATATCTTTTCCAATATGTTTGTGAAGTGGGTAAAAGAAAATACTATAAGCACATGGGAGAAACTAGATGCATTTGTAGTATGATGTAAATGTGGGACTTTAATTATTTAAAATTATAAATCCGAATGGATTCCCCAGAACTAACTAGAGACTTTAAAATTGCTGTGTAAATCTTTGTGTGAGGATATGTTAATTAATGTGCACTTGTATTATGTTAGAATTGTGCATTTCCTGGGCAATCAGGATACCTTAATAGTCTTCCCTTTGATTTCAGCTAAGTCATTTAACCTCTCTGAAAATCAATCTCTAAAATTCATAGAGTTTTTAGCTTTTTTCCCTCTTCTGTCTGAGCAAAGTGCAAAGGAAATTATATGGGATTATCCTTAGAAGCAGCAGACTTTTTCCTTCTCTCCCCACCCCTCTTTCTTTTAGCTGGGGATTAAACCCAGAATTATTTGCATGCTAGGCAAGGTTCTCCTACTGGGCTACATCTCACCCCTGTTTGTTTTTTTAAGGCAAAGTCTCATAAAGTTGGCCAGCCTAGCCTTAGATTTCCTGACTCAGCTTCCTAAGTAGCAGGGATTATGGGCCTATGTCACCACACATGGCTGGCATCAGACTTTTAAATTGGCATTTTCTTAATTTAAAAAATAATAAAGGCTAGTTAGGACAGTGACAGGAACTGACCTGAAAGAGTGACATGTGAAAAAGCACTTATAATTTATTGGTTGATTTTTTTTTCCCCCCATAACCTGAATCCGTGGAATTCTGCTCTATTGAAGATGGGTAAGAATAACAGAATTTCCAGGCAGAAGCCTTCTGTTAACTTCAGCACTTAGAAATATGATTGAAACCTAAATCTAAACTCTTTGGAGATTCTCCCTGAACAATGTAGGTAAATCAGTGATCACTCTGCTTAGTCTATAACCAAGCCAAGGAAAACTGAAGCAGCTTTCCTTTTTGTGCGCACTTTTTGTTATTGTGGCCGCAAAAAAGTGCTTATCATCATCATGTGGTATCTTGAGTATTTTGAAGCTCTAGTATTGTCACGTATTTGATGAAGTGCTCAATCTTAAAAGTAATACTGTTAAGATCCTGAAGAGGCCAGGGATGTAGTTCAGCAGCGTTGCACCTGCCTGGCAAGTGCAAAGTCCTGAGTTCAATCCCCAGTATGGGGGGGGGTATCCTGAAGAAATATAAGTGTGATTATTACCACCCCTAGTCTCCTGAAAGTCTGCCAAAAAACATTATGATGTGCCAAGTGTGTTTTTATTAACTTAGTTCCAAGTAGTTAGATTTTTCAGGAGAAAGTTAAGGAATGTCTGCTCTTGTCTGTGATTTTGTTTTCTGTAGTTTTAGTTACATTCAGCTATGGTTTGAAGATAAGTGAAAATTCCCTATTTTGAGAGAGAAATAGAGACAATGTTCATATAGTTAGTATTATAATTTCCTATTTTATTGTTAATCTCATGTCTAATTTATAAATTAAACTTAATTTAGGTATTTTTATTAAAAAACAGTGTGTATGGGGTTCATTAGTATTTGCAATTTCAGTCATCCAGTGAGGGTCATGAAACATATCCCTCACAGATGAGACCAGGGTATAAAGAAAGATATTCTGTGGTTAGTGGTATTTTATTTTATTTTTATTGTTTTGTGATGCTGTGGATGAAACCTAGGGCTTCGCACAAGCTAAACGAGTGCTATGCCATTGAGTTAAATTCCCAGCTTTGGTTTTTAGCAACTCTATGGATGATGTGAACGGAAGAAAGAGTAGTTTGTACAACTAGAAAGTATTCTTTGATTGTCCTTAACAAATCACTAGCTTTATATTTGGTCACTGAGTAAGCTACAGTTTAGGGAAGAGAAGTCTCAATCATCACAAGGTCATCACTTGTTTATATATTGGTTTAGCATGAGGTAATAGAAAAAGCAATAGATTGGGAATAATTTCTAGGTTATAATTTCAGTGCAGTCACTAACTTTGTGCAAAGTAATCTGAGGTTGATTCCCAGTTTGCTTCTTGCTTTAATATTCTAAGATCCTGTGAGTTGTTTGTAATTGCTGTTTAGTGTTGCATAGTTCACAGAGCTATTTGGAAGCACCTCAGGCCAATTTTATTTTCCACTCACTTCCCATTAAGTCAGTTCTTTTACCAATTTAGATTTTTCTCCATTATGAACACAAATGTTACTTTTGAGTTACTTCCTGTTCTATAATATGTGACAGAAATTCACTATGTAATGTTTCTGTTTTGTGTCTTCTTTTATAGGACTTTGTTTCTTTGCTAAAGTCAGTGATGTGAAAAGACCTGACATGGGTAAGGTAGTCATTCAATCCTTTTAGTAACTCACATTAGGAAAAGCGAGTTTTTATGACATTTTTAGTATTTTTATCTTGGTGCATAATAATTTTAAGAACCATCTTAATCTTTTTGTTTTTGTTTTTTTTTGAGACAGGGGTCTTGCCATGTAGTTCAGATTGATCTTAAAATCACTATCAGACTGGCCTCGAATTCGTGTTAATCATCTTTCCTCAGCCTCCTGAGTGCTGGGATTACAGATGGGTGCCACCATGCCTGGCCATCTTAATTTTACATACCAAACAATTTTTTTTTGGTTAGGTAGGACATTATTTTCAAAATCATTTAGGAGCATTTTATCATTCATTGTGTTTGAAAAACCCAAATATACACTAGCAAAAATTTACTATGCTTACTGTTTACTTGTCTTATGTACTTAAAATATATTAATCCATTTAACTCTTTTGTTTACCTTACAGTAATACCTAATAGTACCTACAGAGTTGGTATTGTCATTGTCCCTATTATATCAATAAAGAAAGTGAGACACACAAGAAACTTCTTTAGGAGCCAGATGTGGTGTCTCACACCTGAACTCCCAGCCCCCAGTAATCCTAACACTTGGGAGACTGGAGTTTGGGGCTAATCTAAGCTACATTTCTAAACCCTGTCTCAAAAACAAAAAACAAACCCTTAAGGTTACATAAACTATACCCAGCACAGCCTGGATTTAAATCACTCTGGTTCCAGAATTTCTATCTTTACTAGTTTGTTATACTGCCTTCTGTGTGATAATTTCAGTAAGGTAAATCTTATATTTACCTAATAATACTAAGAATTCATTATGATTGGAACATTTTCCACTGTTTTATTCATGGTACTTTGTTAAGGGGAGCAATATAAGATCAGGAATAGAAGCCAATTCAGGCATAAATTAATAAGATCTTACAGCATTCTACATACTCCTTTTAAAGTCCCATCAACTTTCTTGATTTCCCTTGATTAATCTTACCTCCTCCCTCACACCGTCTTTTGTTTCCATTTTCCTTCATTGCTGAAATCAGGGTAAGTCTTTGAGTTCCTTTCTCATTTATTTTTATTTTAGCTCTTTTATAGTAACAAAGGTCTTAACATTTCTAAAGATTCTGCCACAGCATTACATTGCACTGACATCTGTTAAGAACTGTATGAGTAAATTATACTTTTTACAGAAAATTGTTTTAAATGACCTTCTTTTGAATCAAAACAAGAAACAAACCAGTGTGAACAGTGTTTGTTTCTGAATGGTGAAATTGCCTTCACCTCAGTGTTTGTTTACCTTTTTTTTTAATCGTTTTTTTTTTGTTGTTGTTGTTTTTGGTAGTGGGGATTGAACTTGGGTCCTTGCACTTGCAAGGAAGGCCACCAAACCGCTGAGCTAAATCCCTGGCACTACCTTTTTTTTTTTTTAAATACAGAGTTTTGCTATGTTGCCCACAAAGTTTGCATTCCTATGTAAGTTTTGTATTTGATAGGTGATCTCAATTCCAAATGAACCAGTTTCTGTGTGTGTGTCCCTTTTGACAGTGACATTTTGAAATTTCTTACCAGTGGTTAGCTATGAAAGAAGGGCTTTAAATATTATTTGGGAACCATTTTTATTAAGTGAAACTACTGATTATAGGAAAAGAGTTAAGAATTATGTGACTTGAACTAATCTGAACTCTTCTCCCCAGATGATATTGCTGATAGGATGAGGATGGACGCTGGAGAAGTAACTTTAGTGAACCACAACTCCATCTTCAAAACCCACCTCCTGCAGCAGTCAGGGTTTCCAGAGGACCAGCTTTTACTTCCTGACCAGCAGGTTAGGAATCATTTTCTTCCTTTAATTCATTCATTCATTGTAGGTTTTCATCTGATACAGTTTAAGTGTTAACACTAAGAAAATACAAGCATATATGTGAATTTTTTTAGAATCAATAATTTTAGTATTTGGATTTCTGCTTAGTGTATTAAAGTTAAGGAAGAAATATTAAGACAACATAGGCAGTGTTAGTTATTTCAGAACAGTGTCATTTCAGTATTACAGTTGTCAATACATGGGTCAGAGTTTTTTTAAATTAGTGTCTTAAAATTACTGAGCACTAAGTTGGGTGAGTGTAAGTATATAGCCACTGTAAGATGTGTCTGTGTGAGAAAGTTCAGGGTTAAAGGGTGAGGAGAACTGTTAAAGCAGTCTTTCTCCACCGGAAGCCATTAGCACTTGGGTGAGATAATTCTTTGCTGTGTGAATGTGTCCTAAGCATAGTAGGATAAATACTGAATATCTATAACATCCATGCTTCCATAATTATTTAGATGATGGATATGTATTTATATATTTTAGATTTGTACTAGAAGTGCAATACCACCCCTGTTTAAGAAATATCTAAAGTTTTCAAAAGAATCAAAACCAAATTGGTTTTCTCAGCTGCTCTGTACTCCATGTTATAACGGGGTTTCAGACAGGACGTACCAATGCAGTTTTACTTTCTAATGAAGATCTTTGAATAAAATTGTACAGTAGATATTTACTCATTTTCCCCCTGGAACCTGAATTATGTCATCAAATGTATTTTCCTTTTTAGTATGTAGTTTATGTATAATATATGTATAAGTATACAATAATTATATTGAATTATAAAATATGCCATGGTCCTGTTTAATGGTATGTTTTTCTTAATGTAAAATTTTATTCCTTTTTATTGTAAAAAATATGACTTAAGAAAAATCTTCTGCTTTGTTTAGATTTTACCTTCTAGGCCAGGAAATTTGGACCGATCTTTTACATGTTCCACAAGAAATGCAGCTTATAGTCCAAATTACTACTCAGGTATGATACATTACTTGTAATCAAAGCACTTATACCTTTCAGATTTCTCCCTAGCAAATCATTTTTGCTTACTATCTTTAAAATTAAAAAGATTGTTAAAAACAAAATGGCATTTTCTCCACTAAAGCATTTTAATAAGCTTTTCATGTATATATGTCATTGATATAATACTTTATGTATTTAGTCTCAAAGAAGTACTAATTTTTTAGTGGAAGTCTTATAGAAACTATTTCCCTATTTGTCTGTTGTGCCATTACAGAAAACAGTACAGCTTTGTTTTTGTTTGGTATTTTCTTTTTTTGGATATATGTGTGTGGTGTAAAGGTATTTGTTTTGTATTGATTTAAACCACAGAGCTAAGTTATTCTGCTTGAAACAGTGAAACCTGAAAATTTATTTCTGTCCAAGCTTGTCCCTCCATCAGGGCAGGAAATATTAACTCTGTGTTTCTATCTAGCACCTGCCACAGCCATATGCTTGCATATTCAAGGGCTTGCCTGTACAGCTTGTGATCCATGACAGGAGTCACATTCTCTCAGCTAGCCTGGTTTAGACTTTCCACTGCTGTCTTGGGAAACTAAGAATTTTGCTTTAGCATTTAGGTACTGTGACTCAGGAAGATTACAGTGGTCTTCCCAGGTCTTTTCCTTCCATCTCATTTTATCATAAATACAGGAATACTACAGATACCACTGAACCTAAGTGAGATTTTTATAGGAATAAATTGAGATGATAAATATGAAAAGCAAATAATAATTATTCTTGTTATTTGGGTATCTCAGGATTCTTTGTCAGCATGATGAGATCTCCCTTAAAAAGACGTTAGTATGATACTCTTACAGATTTATATTTAAGTCTGCATTAGGAGGGAAATACTTTAGATACCCTGGGTATCCTCTCTTGGGATGGGCAATGGCTTCCACACAGTGTATGTATATATATAATTTTTATTAAAAAATCAATTTAGTAACTCTACTATCATTATTATTGAAAAGTCCTTTTTGATGCACAGAGGATCTGAAATCTGGTTTGATAGCTCATTATTAATTCTAGGGAAGCAACAATTGAGTTAACAAATCAGATCATTTTTATTTCCATTTGAATTCAGGCTGCATTTTATTGTAATTTCACATACTGATTTACCATTAGAATCTTTGCTTTAGATTGAAGATAATTGCTTAATAATGACCTGTTGTATAGAAAATTAACTCAAAGTACCCTAACTATAACGCAGTTCTTTTCTTCTTTTTCTCTGTGGGAATCTAAACTAGTGTGCATTTACTATGGAAATGAGTATGAAGAGTCCTCAAAATACTAAAACTAGAAATTATATTTGACCCAGCTATTTCCCATCAAGGAATAGATTCTGATTTTTGTTTGTGTGTACATTTAATGCTACATATTGTATGATTTCACACATAAAATCTTTTTTAACTTTAATTTTGTAGTTTTAATTTTCTGTCAGTTTATATGTCCCTCATATTTTCTTCTAATCCATGGAATTGATAGGCACTTCTACAGTCCTTCAAGTCCAATTCCAAACTCTAAAAAGCTCTGAAAACCAATTTTTTTTTTCTTTTACTTATTTGACATCAAAATCTGACTTGATTTGACTTGAATTTGTTCCTTGGAAAAACGCATGAAACTGTTTATATTTTGTCCTTATTTCTCTCTATAAATATGAATATTTACATGTTTTGCCACATACATAGCAGTATGTTTATAGGGTGCTCCCATTGTTACAGTTAGAAGTGTTATATAGTATATCAGATTATCTTCTGTATATTTCAAAAATTTAAATTCAGTAATACAATTGATCTCCAGGGGCTTATGATTTGGGACAATAGGCCTGTGCCTTCATTTGCTTCATTATTTTTCCTATGGCTTATGTCCACTTCACCCTTGCCATTTTCAGCTATAATTAATAACATAATTTAAGAGCATTTATAATAATACTTTTACACTACAGTAGACCCTTGATATTTAGGAATGTCTGAGTCTACCTTAGATCTTCATGTTCTTTTTGGTTTTTTTGAGACAGGGTCTCACTATGTAGTTGAGACTGACCTGGAACTCACTGTGTAGCCCAGGCTAGTCTCAAACTCACAGCAATCCTTCTGCCTCAGCCTCCCAAGTGCTGGGCTTACAGGCGTGTGCCACCATGCCCCGCTTAGATCATCACATTCTTGACTGTGGCAATATTTGACTAGATTCCTAGTCAGTTACATAGTTGTTGAGAGTTTTTCGATACTTTATTTTTATGTCACAAGTCAATCCTATCAACATTAAAGTATATCTTACTTGAACTGAGGAAATTTTTAGGAAAAAAACCCTTTGTAACAAATGTAAGAAAGCCGTACTGAAATGGGAGTGCTTTGCTGTCTATTAAATCCACTTTCTGAATGAATGAGATGATTTATACCTGTAATTCCAGCAGTCTGGGAGATTGAGGCAGGAAAGTCCTGAGTCCTGGCCCACCCTGGGCAATTTAGCAAGATTCTGTCTCAAAAAAGGGGCTGGGAATGTAGCTCCATGTGAAGGCTCTAGGTTCAGTCTGCAGAACTGCTAAGTCAGTCAGTCAGTCAGTAACAGCTTGAAGCCCAGGATTCACTTTTTTTTCTCTACCGAATTTTATCTAATCCCTGTCCAAACAAACTTATTGCATAGCACAGACTCCAAGGCTGCTTACTAACAATTAAAATTTTAAATCCATGAATGCCAATTGTTTATATACTTTTTTCCTTCAAAAGGTGTTGAATTAAAAGCTACTTTTGGCACCAGGGATATTGTATGCTACCATATACAGTGCCCTGAATTTAATCCCCAGTGCCAAAAATAGCTTTTTTTTAAACCATGTACAGTACTTTTAAAAATTTCTCTTGCTTGCCATACCTATTCTAATTCTTTGCAAATCCTGCAGAACTTTGTCTGTACTACCTCCTTTGTATAGTATTTTCTAATAACCCTTGCATTGATTCCTGTTGTCAGTCACCTTGAGCCTAACCTCATGGTTGGGCTACACATAAAACCCGTTTACCTGCTTTAGTCTTCTGATCTGACTCATTTGGTGTTTATCTCCTGTCTCATCTTACTGTCTTCTTTACCAAGATGAAAATAAGCAGGAAAGATCAAATTTTAGAATCACTTATTTTTTTTGCTGGATCTATCTTTCTAGATCAAGTCTTTAAAAAATTTGCTTCTTGGTGCACTCAGAATTAGAGTAAACCAAGCATGGTGGTGCACACCTATAACCCTAACGTGCTGGGAGCCTGAGGCAGGAGGATTGTGAGTTTGAGCTTAGCCTTTGAAAACTTAATGAGACCTTGCCTCAAAATAAAAAAGGGCTGGGGGTATAGCTCAGTCAAAAGCCCTACATGCAGGAAAAGAAAGGGGGAAGGAGAAAGAAAATGATTTAAAATATTTTTAAGAAAACAGAAAATGCAGCACTGTTTCATGTTAACAGTAATGATCAGGCTTTAAGATCCCCAGTTTTATTGAAAGCAATATGAGAAGAAAATTTAAGAAGTTATTGAACCCTAAAAAAGTTAGATGAAAATTAAATTATTTTTGCTAATCATTATCAATATCTTATCTTGTTTTTGTTTTTGTGGTACTCGGGATCAAACTTGGGTCTTTGTGCTTGCGAAGTAGGCCTCAGAACCACTGAGCTAAATCCCAGGGCAATCAGTATCTTTAGAAAACATGTTAAATGCCCTGTTAATATGGTAACTATATCCTAAAGTTAGCAGGAACAATTTGATGCTTATGCTCATCGTAAGTGATTGACTATACTCTTATTTTTTTTAATATTTTTGACATTTAATGTTTATTATGTCCAGAAAAGTAGTGCCTGTACCTGTAGAAAATTAACCAGCATTCTACCACTAGATTATAACATTGAAATTTTCAGTGTATTCTACTTTTATGTGTAAGTATGTGCACGTAATGTTCTTACTTCTGGCATTTGTGACTTATTCTTAGTGATGACAGAATATCAGATTAAATAGTCATTCAAAAAAGAAAAAAAAAAAAGTACAGTGGACCCTTGAGTTGCAACAGACTTGACATACAAACAACTTAGTTTACCTCCAGCGTTTTAGTTTTAATTTACGGTCAGACTCTTGAGTTATAAGCCGATGCTGGTCACTTGTGTTTCCAGATGGTCTCAGATTCAGATTTAACCCTTAAAGAGTTCTGGAAGGAACATTACAACATCCTTTCTTGTATGGGGTTAATTGAGAAATCCTGGGCCAATGTGTGTCTCGGGACACAGATCTGTCTGTATACAGGAGAGAGAGAGACTTTGAAGGCTGGGGGGAGAAGCCTTGCGCCTTCATTTGACCAACTTGGAATGAATTGGGTTTGTAAATCAAGTCCACTGTATCTGCAGCCTCTCACTCCCTGTCTAGCTTTGTTGGACCCATCACAATAGAAGACTACTCAGTGATACTGTCAAGTGGGGATGGAACCATTTTATTCTGGTTAATCGGACTGCCCGATTTTGTGCTTTTTCCTTTGTGTTTGAGAGCTGATGGCTCTGTCAGATACCATTAAAAGGCTTTTCTGGCTTTGTCTTTGGTCCCAGATTTCACATCTGACAGGATAATTTGCATTTTTTTCACTGACTTCTTCCTCAAATAGACATCTTTAGTTAGATCATTTCCTAATCAAATTTTAGCCAAAACGTGAGACAAAAAAATGTTCTGCTGTTATTACTTTGCATTTAAAGATAATAATTTTGTGGTTTTTCTCCCCTCTTCTTTTCATGCTGAGCTGATGCATCCCAAGCCCATTTATTATTTTTATTTTGAGACAGTGTCATGCTAAATTGCTAAGTTGCCCAGGACTCAAATGTGGAATCTTCCTGGCTTTGCCTCCCAGAGTGCTGGGATTACAGATGTATGCCTTTATGCCTGGTGAATTTTGTATTTCTTGGCTAAGACTCATTTTTTAGTAGCTTCATATTTGTCATTACTAGTAATAGATGTTAAGCGTAAATACTAATTACAAAGGAAAAAGTTATACTTCATTTTGAAAGTAAGTTTAACTTATTTTAATTATGAGACTTAAATTTGCAAACTGGTAAATCAGTAGGTAAAACACCATTTCTGATTACCTTTTCCCTCATTTACCCCAAGGCTAATTTCTTGATTAATTTAAGAAAACGCAATTTTACCTTTGAAGCCCACCTTAACTTTCTGGATAGAGTATAAAAAAATACATTAAATATTTTAAATAGTATAAATGTACAATATTGTACAACATTCTGTGGTAATATGCTTTGAAAGTGGATCTTGAAAATGTCCACATTAGACAGAAATTCTGGAAATATGTAATAATCATTCTCGGTTTTGTTTATTTTTGAGACAGGGTCTCGCTTTTTAGTTCAGGCTGGCCTTGAACTTGCTGTGTAGCCCAAGCTGGCATCAAACTCATGGTGATCCTCCTGCCTCAGCCTTGCATGTGCTGGGGCTGCAGATGTGCACCACCACATCCAGCCATTCTTGTTTTTTTACTGAAGCGCCTCAAGTCCATAGCCTAATTTGTGAAGTTATTTTGCAGGAACTATTCTAAATTGTCCAATCCTGCTTATAGAAGAAGATATAGAAATTATTCTACAATTCCTGGTTGAAACTAAGAGGTCTTTGTCACCCCAGTTTATAATAAAAAAATAAACATTCCTCAGTCTGATTGCAGTAGCAAGCATTGGAGTATATCAATATATCTGATGATTGTGACTGAAGATTATCCTATCAGAATCAGGTGCATATGCTGGATGGGTCATTCCTCCCATAAACTGGCCAGTATAAGCAGCGTTTAGGTTAACCGTGCTCTTTTGAGAGAGTTCCTGAGTCTTGATCATGGTAATTAAAAAGAAGAAAGTGACACCAGCTGCTTATTAAACAATAATTGTTGTTCATTTGAATTACAATTCTCCTTGGCCCTCCACCTGCTTTCTTACTGGTCTGGCCTACCTTCTTTCAGGCCCAGGCCTGGGAGTGCTTGCAAGATATAGTTGGGGTAAAATGTTGACTTTTGGTGGACACCACGGAGTCACATTGATGCAGATAAGGCACATGGCTGTGGCAGGATTCAGCTCCTTCATCAATTTTCAGGTTAGTATGGCTGAATCAATTATAGTTTGTAGACGTTTCCTGACTGCAGACCTTGCTGGCAGTTGAGACTGGGATCTTTCTTCCATGAGAGACATGGTGATATGCCACGTTACTTTGGAATACAATGATGGACATGGTTGCAGTCATAAAGAGAACCAGCAATAGTTATTTGTTTAATTTATACAAACTTTTGTTTGTTTGGTTTTTTAGATAACCCTTCCTCAGACAGTTTTCTTGGCTCAGGCGATGTAAGGACTTTTGGCCAGAGTGCAAATGGCCAGTGGAGAAATTCCACTCCAATACCAAGCTCAACTTTACAAAAATCAAGAAACAGCCGAAGTCTTTACCTCGAAACCCGAAAGACCTCAAGGTTGGTGTCTGCCTAGTTTTTAAGTCCCTCCTTAGATTAAAGAAAATGGCTGTAATATAGTTTTACATTGGTATTTTAAATGAGTCATATCACTTTTGGACTTTAAACCGTAGAGATACAATTGATTTTAAGCTTCTAATTTTTAAATTATATGATGAATTTTAGTGATAGCCAAATCTTACCATTAGAGCGAAGTCATGGTGGATGTGAGTATATTGGACCCTTCAGGATGAATATGGCTATCACAGATTTTAAAATGAAAATCAGTGCAACTTGAGTAGCAAAGGAACTAGCACGTCTAATAGGCTTTCACATGAGCAGAGCAGATGTAAACCAAAGCAGCTCTGTGCCTCACATTAGTCAACTAACTTAAGTTACTTCTATGAGAAATTAGAGTCACAGAAAACTTTTTCTCTAGTTCATATCCCCCACAGATTCCCTTGCCAAATTTACACTGATTATTAAAGGCAGATGAAATTTGATTTAGAAACTTCTTTCATGTATTAGTAACATACTGTACTTTTTTTGTTTACTTTTCATTTATTCACATTTCATGGATTGTTACACTTCCTCAAACATACTGGTTTTTGTTTTTTTTGAGACGGGGTCTCACTATGTAGTTGAGACTAACTTGGAACTCACTATGTAGCCGAGGCTAGTCTCGAACTCACAGTGATCCTGCTGCCTCAGCCTCCCGAGTGCTGGGATTATAGGCGTGTGCCCGCCCGGCTGTATTTTTTAAAGCAGTATTTATGACTTAAAATTTCTGCTAATGTGTTTGAGGAATGTGAGATTATTTCATGTTTAGTTAGATCCTTCTGATGTTGATCAAAACCAACAGGATTGCTTCTTTATGATTATTAGCACTTGGTGTGGGTACATGTGTTACTGCTCTCAGGGATCATCCTAACCACTTGTAAATTTTAAATTATATAAGAATTAATGCATTTATATTGCAAAACTAAAACATTGCCAATAAAGTTAAAGATCCCTCAGCCACTGTACACAGTCTCATTCTGCTCGCATTGGTATTTCCTTCTAAAACTTCCTCTGTTTGTTTCTTGCTTATATTGAGCATAAAATATATATGAAATATTATGATTTTGTTTTTCATTAGAGATTTTCTGCATGCTTTATTCAACAAGTTGCTTTTTTACTCAATACTATTTTTAAAAGTAAAGTTATAGTAACAATACATATACTTTGTAAAAATTAGAAAATATAGATGAGCAAAAATAAAACCAGAAGCATCACTTTCTGACCAGCCTGAAAGCAGTGTTGTGATATCTTAATATATATCTTCCCAGATAATTTTCTTTCACATCTATTATGTTTTTCAAAAATGAGAACATACAGTTTTAATGACATGACTTTTTCTGTATAGTGTTCTTTTTGGACTTGACAGGTTGCTTCTTTGTGGTATCATTATTTTGTCTTCCATGCTTTATATATTTGTAACTAAATATTTGGCTGGAAGAAAAGATGATGCTGTGTTATGTCACATTAGAAAGCAAACAGAGGGCCGGGGATTTTTAGCTCAGCAGTTCGGTGGCCTGCCTTGCAAGTGCAAGGACCTGAGTTCAATCCCCGGTACCAAAAAAAAAAAAAAGCAGTATCTTGTTTTTGTTCTTTAATCATTAGTGATACCAGATTGACTTGGATTAGGGAATTGACAGTCTAGTCCCTAATTGTACACTGAAGGTTTTTCCCATGTGACTAGAACTTAAGCTGAATGATTTCCTTTGGGATAATATAAACAAGCAATTTCACATCAACCATTCACCTAATAGTTACTAATTCCAGTTGATAATCCTTACCTGATAGTAATTTTATTAGAGCTAATGAAGTGATATTTTTGTAATTTTTTTCATTTCTTCTTTACTTTTTAATTGGAACTCACTTTTTCATCAGCTTGGGCTGTGTTACCCTGAGATATATTACTTAGGGGAAAGGCAGGGTAAATTAGAATTTTCACAGTATTTTTTGTTTTGTTTTGTTTTTTTGGTACCAGGGATTGAACTCAGGTCCTTGTGCTTGCAAGGAAGGCCACCGAACCGCTGGGCTAAATCCCTGGCCCTTCACAGTATTTTTAATAATAATTTTCACAGTATTTTTAATAGCTACTTACTGTTTAAATGAATTTTTTTTCTATTTTTTGAGTATCATTAGGGATTTTAATTATCATTAGGTATTTCAATTCACTGTAATTGTTATCCTTTCAATGCTTGTGTTCTCAAAACTTTGGCCAAAGGAATTCCCTATCAAACTTGCTTATTTCTAGCCCAACCTCATTCATTTTTGAATTTTAACATTCCTGTTTTCTGGCATTGTAAGATATCCTCACTTTTTTTTTTTTTAAGATAAAAGATTTTTTACATTAAAATATACAAATGCACACTCTGGTATGTTCAAAGTGCAAAAGACATAGTGGAGAATCCATGCTATTTCTTCCAAACTGCTATAATAACCTAGATTGTCATCTTTTTCTAGCTGTAGCTACTCAGCCTAAAACAAGTAAGCTGTTGGGGCCTGGGGGTTTAGCTCAGTAGTGCTGCCGCTTGCCTTGCAAGTGCAAGGTCCTGAGTTTGATTCCCAGTACCAAAAAAAGAAGTAAGCTGTTCATGAAATTCTCAGTCTAAACTAGTAGAATTTAGAAACTTAAGAGAGAATATGTGCTTTTTTAACCTTATTTAGATTTAGTCTTTGGATTCAGACCACGTGCAATAATTTGAAGAGTTGAATTCATTGAATTCAGCTTAGCTCTAGAACTCTGTTCTCAGTACTCAGCAGGGAAAGATAGGAAAATTCATTATGGTAGTGTAAGCACCTCAGATTTTCTGGGTAGTGATTGATGAAAAAGATCACACAGCAGGAGCAAAACTTAAAAAATGATTGAGCCTTACAGATGGTCTTTTGAGTTCACAAAAAGATTTTTCTCACTAGATAAGGCACAAGTAGTATAAAGAAACATAAACAAAATTCTCAAGCAGGGAATAATGAGGCCAAAGGAGGATTCATAAAGTGATGTAGCCTAATGGGATTCTTTCTGGCAGTTTTTAAAATAAACAATTGAAGCCCTCTGTTGGTCTTCTAGGAAATTTTAAGATTCAGTTTAAAAGTTTATTATGATGCTTCATCTTCATCCACCTGTACATATTTAAAGTAATTCCCTCCATAGAACTTGTGGGCAGAGCTGGGGTAAAAGAAAATATCTATTTATCTGTCTGTCTGTCTGTCTGTCTATCTATCTATCTATCTATCTCTCTACCTACCTGAAACCAAGGCTTTCCAAAGAATTCTAGTCTGTGTGCTTATCATACCACACAGTTATGTGATTCCTGACCAAAGGAAGTTCTAGATTGTTGATCTAAGAAATAGATGTCTTTAAGTACTGTATCTGATAACTATCTGATTTGGCACTCTGCCCAGCTTAACACAGACTTTTAAGTGGCAATCACTTCTTGGCCTTTTGGCTAATATCAAGAGCAGGCTTTTATTTGTTTAGTTTTGTTTTGGTACCAGGGATCAACAAGAGCAGACTTTTAAGTGGGAGAACCTGATACTAAAACCACATGTATCTTATCTATATAAGTTTATAATTAATCAAATATAAATGTATAATTTTCCCACAACTGGTGTACTTACTGTTTTTAATTTCTTGTTATTTCTTGAAATAGACTTAACTGTTTTTCTTTCTTACAAACTTTTTTTTAGTGGATTATCAAACCCATTTACAGGAAAGTCAAACCATCACTGCCATATGTCTGCATATGAAAAATCTTTTCCTATTAAGCCTGTTGCAAGTCCATCTTGGAGCGGTTCTTGTCGACGAAGTCTTTTAAGCCCTAAGAAGTCTCAGCGACGACATGTTAGTACAGCAGAAGAGGTAAGAAAATCTGCATCAAAAACTACTAAAAGTTAAAATTTTCCCCTACATTGAACCATTTGCTGATTTAGATGTTTATAATGATTCTATTTACTTTATCCTTTCTGGCTTTTTATTTCTTAATTACTTTGAAAATCTATGGCAATTGAGCTATTTTAGCAGGACTTAGATCTTCTGTTCTTGTTTTCTGGCTGGCTTTACTAAATCTTCAGAGTTGCCTAAATGACTTTTTCTGTACATCAGACTTTTTTTTTTAAACCTTTCTGAACTGTTACTTCCTATAGCAAAACTGTTAATTTGCTCAGCAGTTTTGTTTTAATAAAATTTGCTTTGGTAGAATACCTGCTTTTCTTATTAGGAATGATTTTCCCCTTCTGCCACTACCTGCCTCGAAGCGCAAGGACCCCAGTTCAATCCATGGTACCAAAAACAAAAAAGGAATAATTTTCCCCAATATAAAAGGAAAATCACGTAACAGTTTATATCCTTTCTTTATAAGTAGGATCATCTTCGAGGTCTTAGGCTTTCCCAAAAAGAAGTATGTTCTATTGACACTTGAGTTAAATCCATTCAGTAAACTTGAGGGGAAAAAAATCTGTTTTCTTGATATTACCTAGCATATAATTTGCACAGTAGGAAGTATGCTTATATCTGTTCAGTTGTGTGTTTAGTACACATCTAGTTAGCTTTACAGTAGAAAGACAAATGAGTAACAATGACTACATTTATACATTATTAGGGTGCTTTCTACATATATTATTGTATTGAGTTCTTTTAACGCATGAAATAGATAAAGGTGAGTTAATATCCATAGTTTACAAATATGGAAAATAAGTGGTCACATAACTGGTAAATGGCAGGCCTAAAACCCAGTTCTTGTGAAGAAATTTATGTAGTATGCCTTCTTTTATTTAGTACAGTGGTATGGTTCCTACCTATTAATCCTGGTGAGTGTGGAGTCAAGAATATAGCATTACGTGCTAAGTGATTAATTTGATAACTGAGGATATTTTAGGTGGCAAAGCTTATTTGTGATATTAGTAAATGTTGAGTAAAAATGTGAATTTTTTTAGTTCTAAGTTTGTATTCAATCTAAAATAGTCAAGGGAGGAATGGCAGAACTAGTAAATATTCAGTGGGACAAAGTTAGAAGTGGCAACATTTCCTTTCAATGATAGGCTCTGGCAACAATGAAAGGAAGTTTATTCTTTGTTATACCTTTTGTACAATTGAATTTTGTCCCAAGTATATATTATTTATTACATACATACCTAATTTTTTTCTTAATTACTAGACTTGTGAATTTAAAGGGTACAGAAAGATTACGCAAAAAAGGAAACTAGCAGCATAGCAGCTGAGAGCAGCCTGCCCAACTCTAACCTTTCGCATGTGGCTACCTAGGTTCCCATTGTGGCAGTTTAGGGATTAGTAGTTTGAGCTTGATTGGCTTTGGAGATTTACCTCCACCATATTGGTGGAGCACAGTTACAGGTGTGTCTTTGTGGGTTGTGGTGGTCTGTCTGGTCCCTTACCCCTTTGTTCTGGCACTCTTCCCTTGTTCTATTTGCTGGCTGCCATGGAATGAGCAGCTGTCCTGTGCCATAGCATTTCTGCCTTGGAGCCAACCAGCCATAGACTGACTTCTCTAAGACTGTGAGCCAAAATAAATATCTCTTTCTGTAAGTTCCAAGTGTCAGGTATTTTGTCCCAGCAATGAGAAAGTAACTAATATATCTTCGATCCTGTAATCTCCATGTCTTCATTGTAAACTGTCATTCTCTTAGCTGCCACTCCTTCGGACCACCAAGTCCTGCCTTCCTTTCACCTCCATTGCTGTCCTGAGGATTTGTGGGGACTGTTTTCATCCTTTAACTAACCCTCCCAGTCATAGGCTAGGTCAGTGGAGGACATGAAGCTAGAGTTTCCCTTCATACAGTGCAAAGATGCTGAGTATTGAATCTAAGCCATGAAAGAGGTGCAAGAAATTTTGCCTTTGTTAATTTTTTTGATCTGTATTTTCTTGCTATATAAAGCAAGCCACAGTGTGTAACAGAATAACCTGTATAAGTAGGACAAAATATTGGGACAAAGTTTATTACCCATCTTTCAACAGATTATTTAATAATTTAATCGTATATTATAGATTATGCAGTATTTATTGATGGGAACTTACAATCCCGTGGTAATACTGGGATCTCCAAGAGACATGTATTTGTTATGTAATATCTAAGGAAATTAGGTATTAATTTTAATGCTGATTTTATCAACTTTAGGAATATGGAGCTATGTATAAAATTAAGATGGTGCTGCTACTGTGCATTTGGTCTTATAATGGGTTTGAAAGTATCTAGAAATATGCAAGTGGTGGCTGTATAGTATGGGTGATTAAAATGGCAGTGTTCTATGCTATGCTGTTCAGTAGAGTAACCACTACCACAAGCATTATTTAAGTAAAATGAAAAATTTTGTTGCTATTGCACTAGTCACATTTGAAGTATTCCTTAGCTACATATTGCTAGTGGTTACCATATTAGACATTACAGGTATAGAACATTTCCATCGTCCCAGAAGCTTCTGTTGGATAGTGCTGTTATAAAAGGTGTAAATTTCTGTTTGAAAAAGAAGATATATTACTTACAATAAAATTGTAAATGATAAAGGAAAAATAATTTCTTGTTCATTACGTGTTGCTTTCAGACATGCTTCTCTAGAATTTATTAAACAGCATTTAAAATGTAATGGTTTTATTCTTATTTTTCTTCAGTACATTAGTTTTGTCATAGACCAAGCATTTTGCACTTAACAGAAAATTACTAAATTATGTACTTGAAATTTATGTAATAAAGCCATTAAACAACATGAAAAGCTATTTAAATAATTCATAACAGTTTAGTCACTTGCTAAAATTTCATTGAGAGTCTTCTTCAATTTTTATAGTCTTATGGTTCAGATTTATCATGGAGCCTCTTACAGAACATCGCTTAATTATAGGAATCTGTCACAGATTTTTACAAAGTACAGATTGATAGATTGATTGATTGTATTGGGATTAAACCCAGCACCTTCACACTGAGCTACATCCCAGCCCATTTTTAATTTTTTTTATTTTTTAAGTTTGAGTCAGGGTCTCACCGTGTTATTAAATTGCCCAGACAGTGCTCAAATTTGCAATTTACTTTCCTCCTCCTCCCAGAGTACTGGGATTTCAGCCTGGCCACAGATATTTTTTTTAATTCTATTTTTTCTTAATAAAATTTAGTACTCTAGTTACTCTTATACTTTTAAAAACTTTTCTTTGTCCATTATTAGGCTCTAAAATACAACATTAAGCTGGGCATGTGCATGTAATACCAGCACCCTTGGAGACTGAGTGAGGAGGATGAATATTTGAGCCCAGCATGGGCAATTTAGTGAATGAACCCCCATGTCTTTAAAAAATAAACAGAAAAAAGAAAGGCTGGGTGGAAATATAGCTGGGTGTGAAGGTCTTGGACTCAGTGCCTGGCACTGCAAAAGAAAAGTAACATATTTACCATATTATCTAGTTACTGCTTCTTTCCCTGTTAGTTTCCTAATTTAAGTAAAAAACAGTTTAATCTGTAAGGAAAGATGTTTTTTACTTTATAGTACTAGATGCTTTAAAATAGGATTATGTTTGAAGTTTTAAGAGACTTACCTTTTTATGCATTCTTTTGATAAAGCCAAATGTTATATATGTTCTTTTGAAAGTTTCCTAAACTATCTTTTCTTTGAAATGGTTCTAGGTAGAATATAATGAACCAGTGATTTTTGTTCTCATTAAAAAAAAAAAAAAAATAGAACCCTATGACCTCCAAGTTAACATGTAAAACAGGGAAAGTTCTTAACTTAAACCTTTTAAAAGCACAAATTACTTTAAACTTAAAGTAAAAGACTTAATGAGCCTTGGGTAATTATTTGATATGTGGATAATTTATTTCTATTCAGTATATTTATCTATGAACTGTATGAGGTTGTTTGGGATCAGAAAGAAAATTTTCTTTGGAGGTACATTGAGAAAATGATTTGTAGGTGGTTTTCATGTTAGGCTTTTAATCAGATTTTACATTAATCTAGGTTTCTCTTAATTTGCATTAGCAAAGTTACTTCGTGGTCCATTCTTTATGCCTTATTTATAAATTTATTAAGAAAACCTAACATGAGGGAGAGGTGGTTTTCTGGTTTTATTTTTTGTCTTTTTGAGACAGGGTCTCACTATGTTGTTCAGGCTGGACTTGAACACACTATTGGCAATCCTCCTGCCTCAGCCTCCAGAATGCTGGGATTGCAGGTGTGTACCACCATGACTGGTAAAAAGTGTTTTTAGCTTTTGTGGCTGATGTCATTAGGATAGAACCAAGAGCCTTTCTGTTTCACTTTTCTCAGTGTTCTCCTGAGGTTGTTATGTGTTGGAGTAACAGTCTTGGTGCCAGGAGGTACTCTGTGATACAGCCTGTCACACTAAGTTATATGCTTTAATTTTCTCTGTATGATATGATTATATAATCAAAGCTTTTATTTTTTACCCACTGCTGTAAGACAGTGAGAATGCAATGCATGTTTGGTTAATTTGGAGTTAATTTTCACAATTTGGTATGATTTCCCTTTCCTTTCATTTTACCTCTTCTGGAAACAACTTATTGTTAACTCTAATGTGCATTAATTAGGTTATTTGGTATATTTAGAAAGTAAAGTCAGCGCTTGTATTGGGGGGGTGTAAAAACTCTGGTCAGTAAAGTACTAGGTAACAAACCTTTCCTGTATGTAAAAGATCACTGTTGGTCAACACAAATTTTTTTTTCCAGTTTTGTAACCTGTAATGGTGTTTCATTTTACTCTTTACTTAATGTTCAGAGTGGCAATTTTAGGTGTTAATATAAAAATGTTTATTTTATGTTTTTGGTATGGGGGGGATAAACCCAGGGGTACTCTACCACTTAGCTACATGCCCACTGAGCTGTATAGCCTTTTACTTTTTATTTTGAGACAGAGTCCACACTAAGTTGCCCATATAGAACTCATACTTGAACTCCTCCTACTTTATCCTCCCTGAATGCTGGGGTTATAGGCATGTGCCATTGTACCCTGCTGAGATACCATTTTAATTATGGCTTTTAAGTTTATTTCTCAAATATTCTGTCCAGTAGAATAGCCCAAAATACAGCTTTGGTTATTGATATTAATTTATACCTGGTGACTATCTTTTTCTAACTATAAGTTTTGTGCTGTTTTTAGTTACCTTTCCAATATTGTAAAGAGTCTCTTCACAAACACAAGAGGAGATCACCATCATTTTGGGTACAATATTTATGTCTAAGGGATAAAATACTATTTTTCCACATAAAACAGAGCAAATTTTTTTTTCCCCTCTTGGGCCCATTATTTTACCAAATACTCAACTAAGTTAGTTCTCCTTTTCTATCACACAGCTATTCAAATATAAGATAGTTTCTTTTTAATAGGGAGTTGTCATACAAATAAGTCAAATGTATTCTAGTACATGAGTAATACTATACTGAAAATGTAATTATAATTTACCATGTAGCAACAACAACAATAAAAGATTCAAGAAGAAAAAACTAGCCCAGTATGTGGAGCAGTCCTGTAATCCCAGCACTTTGGGGGGCAGAAGGATCACATGTTGAAGTCCAAGATTTAATGAGACCCTATCTTAAAATAAAAAACAAAACAAAAAAACAAAAGGCTGAGATTGTAGCTCAGTGGGAATGCCCTAGGTTCAATCTCTAGTACTTGAAAAAAAATTATTTTGTGAAGACAGATGGTTGTATTAAACAGTATGTAAGATGTTATTTAATGAACATAGCCCGTTGCTTCCAGGAGATATGTATAGGGTTGATGCTTTACCATGATTACAAATCCTTATGTAAGCTGGTTCTCTGCTAAGTGACCTCATTTCTTTCTGCCGTTCATTCACATTGACCTTACTACTTCTTGAACACGAGGCACATTCTTGTCTCAGTGCTTTGTATATTGGCTATTTCTCCATTTAGAATACTCATTTATTTTTATGAATTACTTCCTCCTTTTGTTTAGATTTCTACTGAAATATCACCTTTTTAGGGAGATCTTACATGTCCCTGTCATTCCTCCTCTATCACTTTCTGTATCCTTTAATATTTTTCATACTACTCAATTGGGTTTTGTCATCCCTTTAATGTAAACTCCTCAAGGACAAGAACTTTATTCAATGCATTATCTTTAGTGACTGGGCTATAGTAGATATTCAAGTAAACAATTGTATGTTAGAGTATGTATTGGAACTTACAGAAAAAAAGGTTGAAGAAGAAAACCATGTCTGGAAAATACCTACACTTGAATAGAATAGGAAAATAGCATAGCAATATCTCCCTCTCACTGACCTTGATTATTCTGGCTACTTCCTTGTCATCTTTATAACAGGAATCAGGTCTCAAGGGTTTTGTTGGAATCCTAATATAGAAGTCCTCAAATGTTTTATTTCTGGAATTCTGTCATTTGACTTAAAAGGTGATTGCCTGCTTTTGGTTTCATATCCTGTAGTCATTAATGATCATTAGGACTCTGCCTGACCTTTGATGGAGCTTCTGAGATCCCATCTAGTCCCACATCAAGAAATACTTGCCTCATCACATATATTTAAGATCTTTTTTCCCCCTTACAGACAGTTAAAGAAGAAGAGAGAGAGATCTACAGACAACTGCTACAGATGGTCACAGGAAAACAGTTCTCTGTAGCCAAACCGACCACACATTTTCCTTTACACCTGTGAGTCACAGAAGTATCTTTTAGATTAATTTAATTTTACAATTTGTTATTTGATATTGAAACTATATCCTTCTCGTGGTAGGTCACGATGTCTTAGTTCCAATAAAGATGCTTTGGGAGACTCCCTGTTTAAAAATGGAAACTCTTGTACATCTCATATCATTGGCTCTGACACTTCATCATCTGGATCGGCCAGCATTGTAACTACCCACGAACAGCTGTCTCATAGTGCATATTCCCTGTCATCATATGTTCCAGATGTTGCGTTTGGATCCAAAGATTATGATCCTTGCCATCAGCCCCAGCATTCTCTTCCACACCAGCCAGATAATTTACCAGCATCAAATACACAATCTGAAGGTAAAATGATAAGTAACTACTTTTAATTCTAACAGGAATTTAGCTGTTTATAAGAATTACTGGCAACACTGTAATATACATATAACTTAATTAACATGTATGAAACTTTATGTAATATTTATTTAACCATGCCATGAGGAAACTATAAACCTATAAATAAAATATTCTTCTTTTTTCCTCTATGAAGGGGTTTTTTGGGGGGCTACACTGAGTGACATCCTCAGTTCTTTATTTTGAGACAGAATCTCCCTGAATTGCTAAGCGGAGCAGCTCATACTTAATGATCATCCTGCCTCAGCATCCCAGGCATGCATTGAGGCATGCATACCTGATTTAAAGGCAAATGATCTGAATAAAATATTTTATATAAATGATTAACTTCCTGTACAGAGCCTAGATTCAGACTATATTCAGCCCAGTTCAGCACTTTTTTTTGGGGGGGTGCCAGGGATCGAACTCAGAACTTTACACTTACCAGGCAGTTGAAATGCCACTGAGCTAAATCCCCGGCCCCTGATTCAGCACTTACTGTGTGTTTCTTTATAATGAAAATGAAGTACTCTAAAGTTATAGGAGCTTTGAAAAATAAATAGTGAAGTACAAGTGTTTACTATGTGATGTTTATTAAATCTGTGTAGAAGGGCTGGGATTTAGCTCAGTGGTTCCACCACCTGACTTGCAAGTTCAAGGTCCCAAGTTCAATCCCCAGTACAAAAAAATAAATCTATATAGAAGGTTTATGCATTTAAGAATGATTATGATCGAATTTTGGAAACAAAAGAGCTTTCTTTCAACTTATAAAATCATTCAGTATCTTAGCATTGGTGTTGTTAAGGTTTTGCTATAATGTCCTACTTTTTTGGTATGTATGTATTCAATAAGTTCTTAATGGTATATTGGTCTGTAAATTAAAACAAGCTTTCAATTAAGTGGTTAGACATAGTAGTGATCTTTTGATAGATTGAGCACCAGTTTCTTCCTCAGTTCATTTTTTTTTAATCATCACTTTTCTTTTTCTTTGGTACTGGGGATCGAAGTTGGGGATCTTGCACTTGCAAAGCAGGCAGTGGAACCACTGAGCTAAATCCCTGGCCCTAATCATCACTTTTTGAAAATTCTCATTTAAAGATTAAAATTTTTGGTTGCATCACCATGGTGGCATCATTATAGCTACATAAAAGCTTGCACTATATTTTATGAAGTGATTTACTGGAAACTCTCAGTTTTAAAAAGCAAAAAAAAACCTTCTTTAGTTTCAGAAGCGTACATTGTATGGCAGACACTTAAATACAGCTGGACTTGACCAAGTATGTTACACTGCACTATTACTTTGCTTGTATGATTTAATATATACTTTAAATGAGATTCTCATCATAGCACTTTAGAGGATATGATTCTGCCCTTGGTGAGTATTTAACACAAAAAATAAACAATAGAATGATAAAATTGTACTCTTTAGACTCCTCCTATAGTGCTATTTCTCTTTCCCTTCCCTCCTTTTCCTCCTTCCCTTCCCCTTGTTCTTTCCCTTCCTTCACTTAATTCCGTTTCATAGTACATCATAAACTTAAGGCTTTCAGGAAATCCTGGCATGTTCTTATTTCCCAGAAAGAGAAAGAAGAGCACAGGGAGCAAGTATGACCAAGGAGTAGATGCTGAAAGACAAAATGCTTATATTTCAGAGTGATTTCCTTATTCCTGAGGCAAGCTCTTCACTAAGACTTTTTCTTGTCTCAATGAAAATGGACTCACCTCTTTTTCTCTTCCATCTTATCTTTGTCCTTGTGATGTATTGTTTTTATGGAAATAGAGTATAACAGTTTAGGAACTTAAGCTAATACATCTAGAAAATATAACGGTAGAATTTTATTAATAATGAAATGCTCTTGTGTTTCTTTGTTTAGGATCAGACTCTGTGATTTTACTCAAAGTGAAAGATTCTCAGACTCCAACTCCCAGGTAAACTTAGGAAAAAGGTCATTCTTAACATATTGTTTCCTATTCTTTAATCACAATTTCTTTCACTAAGAGTTACATGATATAAAATTGCCTCTATTCAAACCTCTCTCATGTATTATTTGAATTATTTCAGTGACTTTCTAATTGATCTTCTTTCCTCCAGCTGTCATTTTGTTCTTCATTCCATCTTCGTGTTCACTAATTCATTCTTCTACCTTGTTCTTTGGTCCATCTTCCATACTGCCAACAGAATGATGTAAAAATTCCTGTTTGATCATTCATTAAAGGAGTTTGATGATCACTTATTAAGCTCCTTCAAGCATGGCTTGTCAGAATAGAACTAAGCCCGCAACTCCTTAATATGTTGTACAAAGCACTTCCTCCGCAAGCCACACTTTCTGTTACACATACTGACGCTTTCCTTTAACTACCAAGTATTTATTGAGAGCCCCCTGTTTTCTAAATACTGGCATAGACATTTGGGATAATAGCAATGAACAAAATGAATGCTGTGTTCTCAAAGACCTGTATTTCATTTGAGGGGAATGGTAGGGTACAAGTAGCAAGCAAATAAACATATATACCTGGTGGTTACAGATGCAATGAAGAAAAGTAAAATAGGATAATATATAACTTAGTCTTGGGGAACACTATTTGGGGTAATCAGGGTAAGTCTGAGAAAGTGTTAGTTGGGCAAAGATATGATGAAAGTGAGAGAAAAGCTATATACAATAGATAATATGAGATTCATGTGTTTTGATATGCTGGACTGTTACTAGCTTGTAAATACACATTTGTTTTTTTACATTCACATTCAGTGTTCCTTCTGCCTAGAATGTCCTCTCTCCCTCAACTTGTCTGTCTGGCAGTATCTCTTGTCTTTTTAAATCTCAATTCAGGTGTACTCTTCTATGTATAACTTTATTTCTCTTGGAGGTATCAAATAATTGTTCCTCTGTAATCCAGTAAGTCACTACTTAGATCACTGTGCCTTTGCTATACATTGCCTTGGCAATTCAGTTACTTAGAATAATGACATCATTTTGCATTGAGAAGATTAGAGATAATAGAATGTTCCTCTTCATCTCAGTTCCATTGCTGCTTTGCAGTTCTCCTAGACTTTAGGTATTCTTTAAAATTCTCTATAAATCTAAAAATCCCAGGGAAAGTTTAATTTGGATTCTGTATTTCTTATATATTTTTTGGAGCCAGGCTTGGATTCTTCTCTTGGCTTTTTCAGGCTTCACACAACTTTGGAGATACTATTCTTCTGAACCTTTGTTTACTTATCAATAAAATGTCAGTATTAATACCTTAATTATTGAATTGTTGTGAAGAATAACTTACAGGTAAAGTACTTTTAAAAATGTTTCACAGGATATGAAAAGAAATAGACATTCTTTCTTGGGAAGAAGTTGATCTCCGGTAAAAAGCGTGGTCTCAGTTCTCTGCTTCTTCTCTAAATTTGCCCTTCCATAATGGAGGGTTTCTCCTAGTGATGACTGAAGAATGAGTTGAGAAATGACCTGTTGAATAAGCTTGGATAAATTGTACTGTTTGTTGAAGTTAGAATCTCCTATCCCAAAGCATGGTTGATTAGTTTAATTTCCCACCACTGTCTCTCACTTAAGTTCCTGCAGTGAGTATTTGCTCTTTTTTTCTTGGACTATGACATGGTGTTTCATACCTGTTTAACTTTATATATTCTGATCCTTATACCTAGAATTCTTTTTTTCTCCTTGTTCACTTGGTAGACTCTTCAAAATCTGATCCAGTTATCTTTTTCCTCAAAAGATTTCTGTCTTCTCCAGATAACATTAGTCTTTTACCTATCCTTGTACCTTGTTTGTTACTGATACTTTTGTATTTATCATCCAGTGCTGATTATAGTGCCTGGCATGTGAGAAATGCTTAATAAATAAATCCTTGCTAAATAAATGAATTTCTTAGAGTCTGAAATGCTCTTTTAAGTGTTCCAAGTACTCATTTTTCCCCCTTTTTGTTAAAAAAGCATTGATCTGCTGAAAGGTATTTTAACACTAAGTAAAACACAGTCTTTGGAATTGGACAGGTAAGATTTCTAATCCTGGCTGTTCAAGACAAATTATCCAGCCAAACTTCAATTTTCTCATCCGTATAAGTAATAATTCCTTGCTATATATTATGTTGAGGATTAAATAATCATGAGGTTTAACTAATGTATAAAACAGAACAGAGTTGCACATATAAAGCACTAAATGAGTGTACAAAAATGTTGTAGATATTATTAGTTTATCTTTCCATTATATATCCTTTAATTATCTGAGAGATAATGCATGACCTCTTTGGAAAAGCAAACTTCCCTTACATTTGTCATTTTTAAGCCAGCAGATACTTTGAGCCATTGAAGAGAAAGTGCTTGTCCCTATATTATTCCTTTATTCAACTAATACAAAGTGCCTACTCTGTAGGATTATTTTAGTTGTAGAGAATACAGTAGTTTACAAAATAGACAAAAATTTGTGTCTTCATCAGATTTATTCTTTAGAAAAGGAGGTAGACATTTGAGTAACATTGCCATGAAATTCTGGGTGTTTTTTTTTCATATCTTTATATCATGTAGTAAATGTCATCTCATGCTCATTTGTTTTTGATATTACACAGCCTTCACAGTGCTACCACTGATCTCTGATTTTCTATCTTTATTGTTAATTAAGTGTTCACTGTGCCAGGGGGATAAGCCCTTGTTAACCTCAATGACAATGAAGAGGCAGTAGAGTTGCATTTCCTTTGCAAGTTTGAAGCCCAAGGATGATTGAGAATACTGATTTTTCAAAAGCTGAGCTAAGGAGCAAGGGATATCCCATAAACCCTATTCCTGCCCTTAATAGGAGAAATTATAGAGATTTAAGAATACAACTAATTACCATAATTTACAGATCTTAAAACCAGAGCCTATAAAAATGACATGATATACTCAAAATTGTAAGACAATGGAGACAGCTCCAAGAGATCCAAGGTCTCTTAACTCCTAATTTGACACTATTCTGTATATCTAAAAGTTTCCTTTAGAAAAGTATTTGCTTTTCTAATTGTTTCTGTGATAGATGCCTTAGAGATTTAAAAAGAGATGAAAAGTTGAGAAAAACAAGAAGCTGTTAGAACAGTTAACATACCAGTGACTCTGCTAAACATTATTCATTTGGGTTCTCTTTGGAGGGCCAGGTAGAAAGGAATTTATTGTTTCTGTTTTTCTGCTTTGTCTCATTAGCCATTTGATAACGGAATATTTTGTTAAGTAGGGATTTTTGGTATCTACTGTGATTTTGTTTGAGTCAGACTGACAAGAAGTCTAAGAATCCATAATATTTGGATAAATCATTAATAAGTCTATCAGCATGAACCCTTTGGTACGAGTAATGTTCTAGCTCAGTGGTGGCAGACCTGTGGCATGTGTGCTGCAGTGGGCATGCAGAGTCTTCTCTCTTGACATGCAAGCCATATCACTTCAGCAGGCGAACATCATATAGTCAAATTTAATTGTAGTGTTGGCACTTTTTTATAAGTAAGTAGGTTTTAGGATGCAGTTTGGGCATTCAGTCTCTGAAAGGTTCATCACTGTTCTAGCTTAACATTATCTGGAGAAGTGATGTGCTTTTTCACATAATGTTCTTTCGTATAAAAAAGGAAGCTGTGCTAAACTGAATTTTTCTGTTGCACTTTGGGTCATCTTTTTATGTATGCAGATAACTCATTTGTGTTGTTTCATTCTTGGTTACAATTTGTCATTTAGGCACCTTTTATGTATTGCCTCACTGCAAAGTATTCTTAACTATTTAAATGAATGCTTTTTTTGTTAAAATATTTGGATTTCTCATAAGCCTCCTTCTCATTTTTCTTCTCCCACCCATAGTCCTACTTTCTTCCAGGCAGAGCTGTGGATCAAAGAATTGTAAGTTAACTTGCTTTCAGTATTATCTTTATAGTCATTTCATTGTCACTTAGACAAAATGAAGCAATTAACTAATCATCCTGATTACTTTTAAAGGTTAACAAGAATTACCTGTTAATATTCTTTAGTTATTGGGCTTTTAACCACTTACCAGTCCAATTACTTAAGTAGAAGATGACCAAAAATGACTTTTTTGGTTAATTTTTATAAGATAATATAGGAAATATAAAAATGACAAAGTTTATCAAATGTATTCAGTACAAGAATAAACTGGTTGAAATGACACCTGCTTGAACGACACTTCGGATAGTCACTTTGTAAATAGATGTGGTGCCCGAGTGACACTTGGGTAAACTGTTAAGTGGTGAAAGTTGGGATATTTCTGTTTTGTGTTTAACTATAATAATTGTTGAAGCTAAATTGAATTGAAAAAATATTTCAAAGTTAAGTATTTATAGAAAGGAAAATAAATGCCCTTATGTTTGGTATAGGTAAAACTAAATTATTAAATTATTTCACAGTTTGCAAAATCACTGAAAGAATTTAGTCTCCAGTTTTGTGAATATACTTTTCATTTCCCAGACCCCCAGTCATGATTTTTTAAAAAATTGTCAAAAGTAATACTTTAATTAAAACTTCCATAACCTATTATTTTCTCCTTTGAGAATTCCAGAATGAACTTTCACCATAATCTTGGTTTTTTGTTTGTTTGGTTGGTTGGTTGGTTTTTTTGAGATAGCTTGCTTTGTAGTCCAGGCTGGCCTGAACCCATGGCCATCCTCCTGCCTCATCCTCCCAAGTGCTGGGATTACAGGCATGCACCAACATGCCCAGAAGCTTTTTTTTTTTTTAATACCAGTTATCGAACTCAGGACCTTGTGCTTGCAAGTCAGGCAGCCACACCACTGAGCTAAATCTCCGGCCCTTTTTTTTTTTTTAATCTTTTGAATCACCTTAATCTTAGAAGCATGCTTGAAAAAAACTGCATATTCACAAATGTCTGTAAAAGTCAGTTGTTCACATTGAGCAGCGTGCTAATATATTTAAATATTTCAGTAAAAGTGTTAGAATAAATTCTATAACTCTGTGTTGTTTCAGTCTGTCTTACCGTAAATGTGAAGTATAAATTAGAACAAAGATTTTGGACTTTCTGTTTAAGGGGTTCAAGGATTTTGGACTATCTGTGTAAGGGTTCTACATTTGATATTCACTGAATGTATCATAGTGTGTTTTTCTATAAGGTAATCTACATTTGTCATTTAATTTTCTAGAACTAGTGTTTATGATTCTCGAGCGCGGGAAAGATTGCGCCAGATAGAGGAGCAGAAAGCACTAGCATTACAGCTTCAAAATCAGGTAAAAAAGTTAAGATAAAATTGTAAATAGCACATTTAAGTTGATACTAGTTTGGAAGGTTATCTGGATTTTAGTGATTGCTGTTATGATTGCAAGATTGTGTGGTAGCATAGCATTTTAATATAAGTGATATATGTTTTTGGTCTGTCCAGCCAGAAAGACTCACTATACATAAGACAAGTAGATTTCTCTATTTTATCCCACTTATGCTGAAGTTCTGTCTTCCAGAGATTGCAGGAACAAGAACATTCAGTACATGATTCAGTAGAACTACATCTTCGTGTACCTCTTGAAAAGGAAATCCCTGTCACGATTGCCCAAGAAACAGAAAAAAAAAGTCGTAAGTTAAGTGATAGTGAAGATGAATTTCCTGAAATTACAGAGGTAAAGTTTACACTAAATTCTTCAGCTAGCAGCTATTATGTTTATAAAGAATGCTTTGGGCAATTTCAAACATAAAGCAATAGGATACTTGGTATTTAAATTTTATTGACTATTTCTGCTTTTATTTATATTGTGTACTAGTCCTCACTTTTTTAAAAGAATTATTAAAAATTGATGAAATAATTAGGAGTGGCTTTTAGCAACTTCAGTGGAAAAGCATTTTCTAAATTTGTAATTTTATGTGTATTTTTACTTGATGTAGATAGGTTGTGTATGTACAGTTTCATTTAGGGATTTATTTTTTTCTTTTTCTTTTTGGTGCTCACACAAGCTAGACAAGTGCTTCTACCACTGAACTACACCCCTAGCCCTACATATGCAATAATTTAATATCAAATTGTAAGCTGATGCTATTTTTCTTTCTCCATTTCCTGAAGAAATAAAAGGTGTCAGAGATCAAACACACATGGCTGCACACAAACCAGATTTCTCACCAATCCCCAGACTACATTTAGTATTAACCAACTGTTTATCAGTTCCCATTAATCAGATCACTTCTACCTAACATTTTGGTTTCAATCTCCATCATCTTCCCAATTAATTCTTCCCATCCCATCTGGTTCTCCCTTATCTTCTTCAGCACATTGTTCAATATAGTAATTAAAACTTACTGTAGAAAGTTTTGAAAATACATAAAAGTCTGTGTACATTTTAAAAATCTGCTCCTTTGTTATTCTTGTCCTTGAAAAACTATTGGTGCTGGATATATATATAGCTCAGTGGTAGAGTACTTACTTGCCTTGCATATACAAGGCCCTGGGTTCAGTCTCCAACACTGCAAAATAAATAAATACATAGATACATATCTGTCATCTAGCTGGTGAGCATAATATTTATTATATTTGTACTGGATTTTATATTTTACATTTTTTAAAGTAAAATGAACTTTTTCCAGGAAAATAGTGCCTAAGAGATACTACCTTTACTCCATTACTACCTTTTATGAAAGCTCCTATTTTGCAGCAAATCATTTGGGCCAGAAATAAACATAAAGAGGTCTTTTCATAGGCTTAGAAAATATGGTAGCACAGAGTACACAGGGTTAGTTCAGACTTTAGGAACTGATATGAATCGAAGATTTGAATATTATCCTGAAAAAGATAAGGGAGAACAAGGTGGGACGGGAAGAATTAATTGGGAAGATGATGGAGTTTGAAACCAAAATGTTAGGTAGAAGTAATTTGATTAACAGCAAATTGTTAAACAGTTGGTTAATAATAAATATAGTCTGGGGACTGGTGAGAAATCTGATTTGTGTAAATCCATATGTGTTTGATCTCTGACACCTTTTGTTTTTGTAGGAAATGGAGAAAGAAATAAAGAATGTATTTCGTAATGGAAACCAAGATGAAGTTCTCAGTGAAGCATTCCGCTTGACCATTACACGCAAAGATATTCAAACTCTAAACCATCTGAATTGGCTCAATGATGAGGTAATATTGCACTTATTTTTATAGTAGGTAAACATTAAGTAGAAATTAAAGGCATTTCACTCTTTCTTAAAAGTGTGGTCCCACAGGTGATTTGCATCAGAATTACCTCTCAAGACCTCTCCATTCTCCTAAATATGAGGAAATGTAATAGAGATAAACATTTTTAGCAAATATCTTAGGTAATTTTTATGTACTTTAAAGTCTCAGAATGCCTGATTTCTTGCATTAAGGATATGGAGAAGGAAAAGACACTGACTCATTGGTGTTACACTTTCTTTAGCCTTGCAGATCACCTCTTCTTAGCAAATATTTAATAACTATTTTGCAACATGAAGTAATACTTTGGGATTTTTATAGTGATAATCTATTTCTGCTTCCCTTTCTACATCTCCTTGTTTTAGGTCACTTACATTATAATTGATAAGCTTTCTGAAATAACCTTTCATGTATACATTTTTTTAAAAGTAACATTGAAAAGTGATTATTTACTGTATGGGGGGAAAAGTTACATCCTATTTCCAAATAAGTATGCTGATTACGCTGTGATCTTTAAATTGATTTATCTTTTTGCTAAACCTGTAGAAGCCTGTTTTAGTTCAGAAGATTGTTTTCATAGCAAAAGAGAAAAACCTAGGGTGGATGTTTTTTCCATTGGTACCTTTTTAGGTCCACTAAGAATATCCTTGCCTGCTTCTAGGTGAACTCAAGCTTCATAGCTCTGTGGGATTTTTAGATAGTAATCACCTGCTATTCTGGATATCTGTACCCTGTTCTTGTATGCTTAAGTCCTTCCAAGTAATAATACTGGATTGTCTGTTGAGCATTTAGCTCATGTCAGGCACTAGTCTAAGTGTTTTATTTGTTCTTCTCATCTAAGAGTCTCCATAGCCTTAGAAGTAGATAACTATAGTTTTATCATCTCCATTCTATAGGTAAAGAAATAAGACACAGAAAGATTAAGAAACCTGCAAGAGGTTGGGTGGAAGTGCATACCTGGAATCCCAGCACCCAAGAGGCTGAGGCAGAAGGAACATGAGTTCAAGGCCAGCTTGGGCTGCATAATGAATTAATGGCCAGCAAGGACCACATACCTTATCTCAAAAACAAAAGTTTGCAAAGTAACATAATAACAGAGATGAGATTCAGATTGGGTCTTATCTAATATAGTATATTGCCTGAGAATCTTACATTGGGTCCTTTCTTAGGACCAATCATAAAGAATTTAGAAGCCATATATCATGTCCAGGATCTTGATTTTTCTCTGTACCAGCTGGACTAACCCTGTTGTCTCTACCACTGTCAGTTTATAAGATAACTCATCACTTTCTGAGTGATACTCTTTCACTAAGAATGGTAAGGAATGTGTGGTTTGAGACTGGGGGTTGTTTTACCCCTCTTGCTCCTTTTGTTTTTTCAGATATTAGAACATTGGATCAAATAATGCTGAATGGGAGAGTTCACCAAATCAAATGGGAAAATGAAAATCAAGGATAATCAGAAGTGTCCACTGATAAGTTGTTTTTGATTGCTGGGCTTTTGCCTGCCTCTGCTAAAAGGAAAAGTCAGTTTTTCTAAAGGGATAATAGCCTGCTGTAAATTGTGTAAAGCCTTCTAGAGGGCAGCAGTTAGTAGGGTATGAACTGAGTTCTTGCTATTTACTGTAGCAGTTACCTCAGTGAGAGATCCCTTACAGAGGCAGCATTCAGCATTCAGGACATACTTTCCATTCCCTGGGCCCATCAGAGGCTGGATTTTTAGCAAGCAAAGTTAATGGAAATTATATTATTTAGAGGAGATGAAAGGAAGGAAAGATTCTTTGTCTACTTATCCCTACCACACCTACCTATAACTTTATAGAGAGTAGTTTTCTTCTGAGTTCAGGATAATGTTAGCCTTGAAAGTGAATGCCTGTACGTGTGTCCATGATGATAATTATAACCTTTTAGAATATGTGCTGCCAAAGCAAGCGTGATAACTTTTTTAAAACACATTTTCAAAGTATCATACTTCTCAGGCTTTCATTTATTACCTTTCAAAAGCCCACATTCTGATGACTTACTAGTAGACACCCTTAAATACTGATACTCATTTAAAATTACTGAATTCTGTTTCTCAGTTGTGAATGCTTAGTTTTTTTGCAAATAATTTTTCCCTTTTGCTATTCTGTTCTTCCCTCAAATAGATATTTTTATTAATATCTACTTCTCTTTTTGATGTCCTATAAATTTTATAGGATATATTAAAACTTTGTCCAAAGTAAAGCTACTGGTGCATTATTCTTAACCATTGACAAGGAATACAAGAGCCAGAAAGTTAAAGGAATCATATTTAGTTTTTAAAGAAGATAAAATCCAGAAATCTTGTATATAGAATATGTATAGAAAGCCATTATGCTACTCTTTCCCTGGTCTCTTAAAAGAAAGTAGACCTCAGTGCCTATTCAAACAATAGGCTTTCAGAACTTTTTTTTAATGAGTGGATTTATATATAGTTGAATTTGATTAAAATCTGTATAGTTTCAAAGAACTGAATATTGACAAGACTAATGTTTTACCTCCACATAAAGAAATGATATTTCTGCCAGGCATGGTGGCACACTTCGGAGGCTGAGATAGGAGGATTGCTGTGAGTTCAAGACCAGCCTGGGCTGCATAGTCAGTTCCAGGTCAGTCTCAACTACACAGTGAGACCCTGTCTCAAAAAAAAGAAAGAAAGAAATTATATTTCTTAAAAATGGAATGTGGAAACTGGCCACTTTATAAAGAATGCAAAAGAAGATAGAAGACTGATGAAATCAGGGATATTGTAGCTAGGGACTTCTGTCCTGGTTCAGGAGATTAGTTAATAATAATAAAAACTCAATGGAAAGGGAGAATAGAATTAAATAGAGGAAGAATTAGCTGTAACAGCAGTCAGGAAATAAATATTTGCAAAATAAATGTCAGTGCTAGAAATTATTAATCCTTAGAGATTGATGACTTTTGGAATCCCAGTTTTTAAAATTCTAGGTTAACTATCCTGAGAAGCATACTGCTTTGAGTTTTGTGTTTTTCCTTATGACCAAGTGCTTTTTCCATATTTGAGAGCCTGATGATTGTCTCTTATTGTTTTATAATTTAGAAATACATGGAAATGATTTAGTATACCTATAAATAGAACTGACTTTTGCTCCTGATTATGACAGAGTAGAAGAGGCAAGATTTACCCTTTCAGCTTAACCAGAAAACAAAACAAGACAAATGAAACAATTTTCAGATTCTCTGTAACAGGCAGTATAGGACAGAGATCCCTGAAAGAAGGGAAATAAAGAGGATATCCTGTGTAGCTTCCCTGGTTTACTGAAATGGGGTGTGTGTGTGTTATGGGATAGGGGCTGGCAGAACCTCTGCAAAGGGGCTTCCCTCAAAGACTGGCGGAAAGATTCTTTGCAGTTATGAGAAGAAGCTACTAATGGCTAGGGGATGAACTATGAGAAAGAAGGAATCAGAACAATATCAGGGCATACCTAGATGCCAAGAGTAGTTCATATTCCAACCAGTTAGAGTGGAAAAATCTTTGTAAGTCCTGGGGCATACAGAGATTTCTTAGAAGAGAATTCCCCCAAAGTAAGATCAAACCGATAACGGCTGCTCCAGACTAACAAAGCCTAAAAACAAATCTCATAAGCTTAAAATTGATTCAAATAATACATCACAGAACAAAGACCAAAAATATTTAAACGAATACAACAAATACCAGTACCTGCATAAAAGTGACAGTATCTAGTATCCATTAAAAATTATTAAATACTATATAATTAATATATTTTGCTAATTTTTAAAAAATTACCAAGCATACAGAGAAGAAGGAAAGTACAATTTATGACAGAGGAAAGACCAGTTGTTAGAAATACCCAGATATGAACAAAAGGATACAAATAGCAGACAAAGATGTTGAAACAGATATTATAAATATATTTCATATGTTTAGGAAAGTAGAGAAAAATAGACATGTGGAAAGAAATGAAATAATATATGAAAATATGCAAAGTGAACCTTTGTGTTTTAGTTTATTACTACATGTGTAGTACATAATGTGTACACTCCTTATGGGAAATTAAACTTCTATATTTGAAATAAAAGGTACATAGTATAGAACTAACAGGTTAGACACGAGATTTTTTTTTTTTTTTAACTTAATGATTGGCAATAGAAACTCTCCAAAATTAAACACAAAAAGAAAGGCTAAAGGAAGATGACAAGACCATCAGTGAACTGTGGGAAGTGGTTTACGCATGTAATTGAAGTCTCAGAGAGAAAGACTGGGCGTAGACGATGTCGGAACAAGTATTGAAAATTTAATGGTAGATTTCCACCATGCTAAAATGTATAATAAATTTCTGTGATAAGGGAAGCCAGAGGAAAAGATATATTAGGCATAGAGGAACAAAGAACAGTTTTGTTTGTCTGAAACCATTAGTCCAGAAGACAGTGTAGCTACATCTTCAAAGTACTAATGAAGAAAAACAAAATGTCAACATAGATTCTATACCCAACAAATATACCTTTCCAAAAGGAGGCAGTACTTTTGCAGACAGACAGATGCTACTTGAGTTCATCACCAGCAGACCTATACTATAAGAAAGATTATAATATATTCTAAACAGAAGGAAAATATCAGATGGAAATGGCAGCCCACACAGAGGAATGAATAGCAATGGAAATGCTCTCAATTTTTAATATTTCTAAAAGACAAGTTGACTAAAACAATGTATTGTGAGACTTATGTAGAAGTAAGATATTTGACAATCAGCACAAAGATGAAGACAGAATAGAAGTTTATACTACAGTAAAAGTCCATTCTACATGAGCAACTACTAAAAAAACACACACAATAAAGATAAAATTAATAATGGCGATTAGACAGAATTTAAAAGCCTAAAAGAAGAAAAAAGATGCAAAGACCAAAAAGGACAAATAGAAAAAAAAAAAGCAAGGTTGTAGATTGAACCATGTCAATAT